TGAAGGAATCTGATTTGTTCCCTCCCATAGTAAGTTGTTGCTGATGGTGTCTGGTCAACGAATACGAAGTATTTTGCGTAGACAGCTGTTAATAAACACTTGTATCTTCTGGATGATACCTCTCGTAGTTCTCCATGTTTCCGCTCCATACAGTAGAACTGTCTTGACATTTGTATTGAAAATCCTGATTTTGGTGTTGGTTGATATTTGTTTGGAGTTCTAGATATCTATTTCAATTGTAGAAATGCAGACCTTGCTTTGCCAATCCGCGTCCTCACATCTGCATCGGATCCACCTTTCTCGTCGATGATGCTGCCCAGATATGTAAAGGTGTTAACGTCGTCCATGGCGTGTCCATCAATAGTGATTTGGTTGGTGCATGTTGTGTTGTATCGCTGATGTTGAGACCTGTTGCTACTGTGGTTGCGTAGTAAATAAAAATCAATCACTGATGAATGATCTTGATTTATTTACGTTCCACAAGAATATAATTTTAACTGCATATTAATTCATTGATATTATGAATCGATCAATGTTAGACCAGCATTAAAACATACCTGAAAGTATTGGACATCCGTTTCGTCTTAGTATTGAGACTCATCAGTAGTGGATTGATCGAAGTTAGTTATTAACACCACTGAATGCCAATTAAGTGGTCTTCGGCTTATGAGTTCACACACGAGATAGAAGGTCCAAGGTTCAATTCCTGCTTGTGGAAGTCATAGTGTGGTGTGAGCTACTTATAAGTAGTATATGATGTGAGTGTCAACATAATGTCTGGCAGCAGAAGATGGGGAAAGATCAAGAGAAAGGAAGAGTTAGAACACAATGGAATTTGTATGAAATGCATGAATAGTAGTGACAATGGATTGATGTTTTGTAACAGGAACAGTCCAGTTCGCGATATGTTGAACTGATAATTTGCAAATGAACGATTTACGATATGGTTTTCCGATTTTAATGAGTAACTCTGTAATTTTCGTTAAATACAGTTCGGTTGCACTCACCTTTGTTCTCGTTCACTACAATAGTTGTGCAATGCTGATAAGTCCCACACAAGGGTGGATAGATAGATGTGTGGATGGATAGATAGATAAGTAATCTACAACTTTCAATCAGATCTGATTTGTTAGTATGTTCGTCACTAAGTATGCTTGAAGCTATTACGAGTTCAGCTTAGTCGATAAACGCGAACGAGACAATGAACCAACGTCCAGGTAGGCAACTATGAATCCCAAGCTGAAGACAGAAGGCCTTTGTAAGCGTTGAAAGTATATTCTACAACACTCAGCCAGCACACAATTCTCGTTTATTTATACATCATAGAAATGTCCTTCGGACAGTCACAAAAATAGCACACACTAAAATACACAGCAACCAATCACAACCATGGATTTTCCTGGTAGGAATTGAAATCTCAAGGTCAACTGGTCAGCCCATGCTCAACAAATGTGAAATCCAAAATTAAGACATTTATTTATCAAGCGAATTCTTGGGAATCTAACATTCAAGCCAACATTTCAAGCCAATCCAAAAAAATCAATACTGTAACAAGTAGCTGTTTTTTTTCAACTGAATAAATATACGGATACAATAATTGTATTTGCATTACGGGGTTGTTGTGAAGATTGTTAAGTTACTAACACATTTCTTTTTGAAACCATGAATTGATCAATGTTAGACTGCCATCATTTGAAGAAACCTGGAAGCACTACAGAAGACGGCCGTTTCGTCCTGGTATAGGACTCCTTAGTGGAAGTGCGTATCCACGACTTCTGAACCCAGTAGGGTTCGAACCCAGGACCTTCGGTATTGTGTGGTATAGTGACTAGCTTCCTTGAGGAATCTTCACCGAGTTCTAGTGGGTAGACGTCGTGACCAGTGAAGTTCAACCTCTTTGGGTGTAGGCAGTGTCTACCGAAGACTGTTTATGAGGTTGCGCAACTCCGTGAATTTGATCAAGTTAGACATTAACACCGTTAGATACTGGCTCAGTGGTCTAACGGTTAGGGCGTTCGTGCACAATACCGAAGGTCCTGGGTTCGAATCCTGCAGGGTGCAGGAGTAGTGGGTGCGCACTGCCACTGAAAAGTCCCATACCAGGACGAAACAACCGTCCAATGCTTCCAGGTTTCTAATGATGGTCTAACATTGATCGATTCATGGTTTCAGAAATGTGTAACAATTGTATTTGTCATAAAAAAATGTTTAATGAATTGGACTGTTTTGATATTTTTTTGTAAATTAGTGTGTAACATGTGAAATTTCTACTTGACCTGAAAAATTTGTCACATCATAGTGTGTGTGTGACCTTAATTACTTTTTATGATGAATGAAAAAACTGGTTCTGTTTTTTTTTTGATTCGAAGGTACACGAGGCCAAAACGTTCAGTGATTTTATTGATTTGATAATTTTGAAATCGTCAATCAATCAATCAATCATTGTTAGACCACCAGCATTAGAAGAAATCTGGAAGCACTGGAAGACAGCCGTTTCGTCCTGGTATGGGGACTCACCATCAGTGGTAGTGCGCATCCACGACTCCTGCAGCTCGCAGGATTCGAACCTGAGACCTTCGGTATTGTGAGAGACCACTGGACCGGCATCCACCGGTGTTAATGTCTAACTCTGATCAATCTAGGGACTTTTGCGTGACCTCACCGATTTGTCTTTGATAGTAGTTACTGCCTACCTACTACACCCGATAGGGTTGAACTCCATCGGTCACGTCTTCTCACCCCAGAACTCTGAGAATTTCCTCATGAAGCTAGTCACTAGTGAGTACATGTTACGATATTTTCGGGCAGAGGTTTTGGAGGATTGTGTTTTTACACATTTGAAATCATCAGTTAGTCATGATTAGACCAGCATCAGAAACCTGGAATTCCTGGACGATGGCTTCGTCCTTGTATGGGACTTGTCAATGGCAGTGCGCATCCACGACTCCTGCACCTCGCAGGATTCGAACCCGTGAACTTCGGTATTGTGCGCAAACACCTAACCATCGGATCACTGGGCTGGCATCCAACGGTGTTAATGTCTAAATCTGATTGATCTAGGGATATCTGCTCAACCTCACCCATTTGTCTTTTGGTAACTACTGCTTAAACCTAAGATGCAGGAGTCGTAGATGTGCACTGCTACTGATGAGTAATCCCATACCAGGACGAAACGGCTGTCATCCAGTGCTTCCAGGTTTCTTCTAATGGTGGTCTAACAATGATGATTGATTGATGATTTCAAAAAATGTGTAAAAACAACAAACCTCCATAACTCCAACTGAAAATATTGATTGAATTAAAAGCCGAAATCAATGAAACAATTGTGTAATAATTCAAGCTTTGGTTAATTTGTATTTAGCCAGGAAGTACTCGGGGGAGTGCCAAAAGCACTGTGTGAAATAATCTGGAAGAGGTAATGATGAGAGGGGGGAAATATGAGCTGATGACTTACCTAAGCACATTTGAGAATAATGCGCTTACATTTTAATATAGAGAAAGTAATTGATAGCAATCAGAAATGTTGCAAGGATACTGGGTAGGTACGGAAACTACAATTTGCCATTATGATTAAAATTAAGCTATGTTTCGTGATGTAGGAGTAGGTTGGAAGAATGTTAGGGGCGTCATGAAGTCATTGACAAGTGGACTGAGTCATGTTGGTCAATGTAGGCTACCTGGTTGGGGTCCGTGAGACGAAATTCACTGATGGTTAGAGACTTTGAACGATATGGCTTAGAATGATTTGCAGTGGCACAAGTGCATCCACTCTTTATGTTCTCTCAAATTCTAATCTTCTGAATTCCTTAGCACCTCTCTCTTCCTCTTTCTAACTTTATCTTAGTGAATTATACTTCTTGAATAATATCTTCAAACTCTAGTCTTCTCCATTACCATTAATACCTCTACTATCTTTATCACTATGGGATTTGATTTGACATTTGCGTCTCTGTGCTAATGTGGTATGGCAACATGAACTGATGTTCATACGTACGAAGTTCTACGTTGCATCTAAATGATTATGGTTGAAATCGTGAATCGGCTCATCGTTAGACTACCATTAGAGTTACCTGGAAGTACTGGATGACCGTTTTATCTTCCATCCACTATCGCTACTCGCAGAACTCCAACCTAGGCCGTTCAGATCTTGTGTGTCAATGCTTAACCTATAGACCACTTAGCCGGTATTCAACGATGTTATTGTCTAACTTTGATCAATCTAAGGCTTCGTGCATCCTCAGCCTTACTTACTTATTTCTTCTGGTTAGCGTGTTTTGGGCAAGTTAGTTTTTTGACTGGATGGGGTCACCAATCTCCATGCCCAACCCTTCCTCCTTTATCCGGGCTTGGGACTGGTAGTAGCCCCGAAGGGTCTACAGACGGAGTTGCATCCTCACCCAGTTAGACATTAACACTATCCCATGCCTACTCACCAGTCTACACCCGACTGAATACCCTGAGTTCGATTCCAACAAATGGGGGGGATAGAGTATGCGTACTATTGAAAAGTTCCATGCTGAGATGAAACTATTCATCTAATATTTCCAAGTTTCTAATGCTAGTCTCATAATGATTGATGAATGATTTCAGTCAGAAAGTTTCATTTTCATGGAGATTTACTGTAAAATTCCTCAAAAAAATAAATAAATTTTTCATTTCAGTCAAATATCCAATCACTATAATGAACAGATGTCTTCGTTATTTGATAATATAAAGGGGGAAGGGAGATAAGAAATATACATATACATATATATATATATATATATAATAATAAATTAAATCAACCAATAAGCGCATCAGATTTAACGCAACCAAAAAAGAGATTATTTCTTATTGGTTAAATTAATTTCCGAAACAAATGATTGGCTAAGAAAGAATTCATTACAATTCACTTAAAAACCGATCACAAATCAGAGAGCCAAAACAGTAAAAAAAACGATTTCAGATTTTTTTGACATAAAAAAACATGGTAAAAGTTTATTAAATCACAGAAAAACAAAATGGATTTTGGATTTTCCACGTTAATGAATAAAAATTCCATGTATACTACTACAACACCTTATTCAATGGCCGGTACATTCATACATCATCCTCAACATAATTCATCCTCATTGTCGTCAATAGCAACCACAACCACCACCAGCACAACCACACCTTTGTTCAATAATCAAACAATCAATGAACATTTAACTTCACAAATTAACCAACTAGACAAACATTCATCACAGCAACCAACAACACTGTCACCACAACTACCGACTGATCAATCAACTGCGAAATATTTCAATCAATTTACCGATGATTCTACAATGAAACATGTTCAATATTCAATGGATTATTACAACTATGATTCATTTAGAAATGATCCGTGTACAACCAATGTGAATTCAATTGGAGCATGTGATTTACGTACTGAACCACCAGCACCACTACAACCACCTGCACCACCACATGACATTTTACATAACAATCAAAAGCCATTCATGTCCGATTATCATTTTTGGCATAAATTTCATACTTATCCTACAATGTTTCCTTACTATCAACAGCATACTACTTATGATTTGACTAATACTACTAATACTACTACTACTACGACTACTACTAATAATAGTAGCAGAAATTATTCATATTTTCCTCATTCAATGTATAATTCTGCATTTCATCATTCCTATTCATCAACGAATCCTAATTTATCAATGTTTCCAACATCTGCTTCAACAAACAACTCATCTACACCTGATTATTATCATTCAGCCCATCTCCACCACCACGAAGAACTTCAACTCAATCAACGTGAGAGTAAATCGGATTGTCGATTATCAGTTGGTAGTACACATGTGAATCCTGTTAATAATCACCATCAGCCCCACCATCACCACCAACACAACTCATTGTTTCTAGCATCCACCATTGATCCAATGATCAATGAGACAAGTGATCCTACATTGATGAAAACTACCATGTCCTCCTGTGTGATGAAGTCATCCATGTCGGGCATGGATGATAATCGTTCATGTTATAAGAAAAGCTTAAAACGTAAATCAATGCAGAATAATGATTATGAGTACCAGTCGATACAAAATGATTTACCTGGAATGAATCAATTCTATGATACATCAAATCATGTTATGAATAAAAAAATCTTTGAAAATACTGGTAAGTTGTAGTGAAATGTATGATTTTTTTTGTTATTGTGGAAAATAATTGGGATTTTTGTAGGGGTGGGGAGGGGAGGTGGGGTTGTTTCTATTTGTTTTTATGAGTCAGCCATTGATTCAGTTAGTTGGTAAGAAGGTTGAACTTGGTGTGTGTGTGTGTGTACATCAGTTCAAGTTGCCATACTGAGTCATGTTGGTAGATGTAGGCTACTTGGTTGGTGTCCGTGAGACAAAAATTACCAATGGTTAGATACCTTGAATAATGACATGGCTCAAAATCGTTCGCAATGACGCAAGTGCATCCATTCGTTGAGCTCTCTCAAATCCTAATCTTCTGGATTGGTCAGCACCTCTACCTCTGTCCCTCTAACCTGATCTCACCGAATTATACTTCTTGAATAATATCTTCAAACCCTCTAGTCTTCTTCATTACCATTAATACCTTTACTATCTGTACTATCACTATGGGATTTGATTTGACATTAGCGTCTCTGTGCTAATGTGGTATGGCAACCTGAACTGATGTACATACGTACTTGCGAAGTTCTACATTGTAACTGACTGACTAACTCAAGTTGTCATATCATGACATTAGCACATAGTAGTAGTAATAGTAGAGGTACTTGAACTGTTAACACGGTAATGAAGAATATATATTATTCAAGAAGTATATCTTACTGGAATCCATTTTATAAAAAGTGAACGATAAAGTTTTTACTTGTGAATGCTTAACTTGTAAACTGTTATTGAGTTGACATCCAGTTGCGTTGATGTCTAACTTTAGTAAATCATCAGGTGTCTTCGGTTAATATTTCTTCACATCCTAATAGAATTGAACTCCATTGGTCACGCATGACTCAAAGAAACTTCCTTACAGAGTTAGATATTATAAATAAGCCTATGATAATTTGCATCAAAGAGTTGTGAAGCATTGAATAGCCATTTCGTTCTAGTATGGGACTTATCGACAGTCAGTCAGTCAGTCAGTTGCAACGTAGAACTTCGCAAGTACATAAGTACATAAGTTCAGGTTGCTATACCACCACATTAGCACACAGACGCAAATGTCAAATCAAATCCCATAGTGATAAACATAGTAGAGGTATTAATGGTCATGAAGAAGACTAGAGTTTGAAGATATTATTCAAGAAGTATGATTCAATGAGAAAAGTTTAGAAAGTCAAAACTAGAGGTGTTGAATAATCCAGAAGTTTAGGATTTGAGAGAGAGCACAAAGAATGGATGCACCTGTTCCATTGCAAAACGATTTTGAACCATATTATTTAAAGTCACTAATTATCGGTTACTATTGTCTCGCAAAGCCCTAATCAGTTAGTCTACATAGAATGATATACTCAGGTAACAACATCGAAGATGTACTAAGTAATATTTGTAAGATTCAATTACGTACTTATTAAGAATGAAAATCTATTGATATTCAGTTAACAAACATAGAAATAAGGTGATCAGATGACTACCTGGAGCCTCTTCTATGATTACTGCCTATTTCAAGGCCGGGGAAATAAATTGCCGAAGGGTTAAGCATGAAGGGTTTTTACAGTAACCTATTCATCTTGGAGAAATTGAACTTCCTAACTGGAAAAATATTGTTCACTAATCGGTAACCTATCCACCAATTAGGAGTAAGTAAGTAAGTTAGTTAGTAGGTAAGTAAGTAAGTAAGTAAGTGCAGAAGTAAGTAAGTAAGTAGGTCAGTATGCACGTAGGTAAGTAACATTCGGAATGAATGTTACACAAACCTACAAAACTCTGCCTGAAATTTAGTAACATATGCTCACTAGTGATTAGCTTCGTGAGAAAATTCTCTGAGTTCTAGGGTGAGAAGACGTGACTAATGGAATTCAACCCTGTCAAGTGTAGGTAGGCAGTAACTACTACCAAAGACAATTAAGGGTGAGGTTGCGCAAAATCCGTAGATCAATAAGAGTTAGATAGTAACATCGTTTGATGCCGTTAGCTCAGTGGTCCGATGGTTAGGCGTTCACGCACAATATTGAAGGTCACGGGTTCGAATTCTGCGAGCTGCAGGAGTCGTGGATGCGCACTACCACTGATAAGTAGTCCCATACTAGGACGAAACGGCTGTATTCCAGTGGTCCCAGGTTTCTTCTAATGGTGGTCTCACAATGACTGCTTGATACTTTCAAATGACAATTGGACAAGTCATTGATAGTA